ATTATATTATATTTTAACAACTGTTAATTTTTCACGAAGAAAAATGCATGAAAGAGAAAAAAAAAACTAATTATTTTTTTTACTAATACCTTTCAGATATCTAAAAAGCACGTCTGTTCCTTGAAAAAAAATTTTCTTTTAGAAAAGATTTCATCTGCATATAGTGATCAAGTTTGAAAAGTCCGAAGGATGGCTACTGTAGAGAAGTTATACTGTATTTATATTCATATCGAAATAGATAATGTTTAACGAATGTATGATTAAGGATAGAAATAATTCTATATGAAGTTATTTCGTAGAAGATTTAATTTTATGATTGATAGTAGACGTCAGTATTTGTAGACAAACTATAAATATTCAATCATTTTCTTACATAAATATGCCTTCAATTATAAAATATTTATTATTAACTTTAAATAAACTTTGAGATTTTTTTAAACGATTGATTAAGTTGCAATAGACATTTCTATGAGATAACTGAAATCATGAGTCTTCTGGAACTGTTAATCATTGAATCATCTTTCGATTTTCAGTTGGTGTCTTATTCAAGATCAATTTGTTCAAAGATGTTTTTCAACGTTTCGTATAGCTACTATTCAGTAGTGTCCAATTGTTTTTGTATTGCTACGACATATTCTAAGATACCATTAGATTTTTTGTTGATCAAGAAGGACACAGAAGACTTTTAAAGACTTCAAATGAGTTAATACGATTACATCGACTTCACGGAGCTTCATAGGAATCCAATAAACTTCTAAGACTTTAGAAAAACGTTAAGCATTACTTCACATTTCATACGACTTCAAAATTTTATTAATGCTCGAACATCACATGAATAAAAAAATCCAATTTCATACATGACCAAACGGCTTGTTGATTATTGACAAACGAAGTTTGATAAACCATCACGATATTTTACTTTAGAACGATGGTGACTTGAAGCAGCAACATTGGAGAAGAGTGTTACGATGTTTTTCAAAGGAAAAATATCTTTCTTCTAGCGGAATGCAAAAGAGAATTTCAGCTCTGCTGGAACAAAATCAACATTTTCCACGATGGAGGAGGTGCTTGTATTATAGACTCTCCTGACGGAATCAATACTGCTATGGGAATAAACAATGTCAATAAAGAAAAAACATTCAACAGCTAACTAGAAGTTTTTTTTTTTTAATGTTTAAACACATTTACATTTTTTCCCGACAGAGTAGAATGACAATAAAAATGCATATTTCTGCTACAGTAAGATTATCGCGAAAACAAGACAAGTTCATTAATAAATACTATGGAGATTGTCTATTTACAGAACTATCAGATATCTTTGTATTACACGTCTTTTTTGACACGTCTTGTTTTCTAATAATATCTGAATCAGTGTCTGACTGACTTAATTCATTTTAGAAACTTTGCATGAACTAATCGTATTTCATAAGTTTCAGAAGACTTCAGTATCGAAGTCGTTATTATTTGTTCTCTGATGTGAATAATAAAAATTCCATTAGTTTTTCGACTTCTTAAGACTGGTAAACTATGAAAAGTATTGAGAAAGATTCGGTTTATAAAGGCATTGATATGTCAACTTCAATCAAGTGGTTTCCATAGACAAATGATGTGCTCTTCAATGATTATCCTACTTTAGAATATTAGAAATATTCATATTCAATTTCTGTAAATTAAAGAAAAGAAAAATAAGTCGTGTCAGTTTTTTTATCTAATCGATTAGTATTCGAGATCGCAAACCATACAAATGTATTTATCTTGATCGAAAAGATATTATCGTTAATATTAATGGTCCATTCATCACTTTAAATATGTGTTATTTCTAAAACTTGTACAAGGTGTTTGATAGTAGATATTTATAAAGATCCTAATTTAATTTTTTTTTTTTAAATAGAATTTATTCCATCGAATGACTTGATGAGAATTTAACGATTCCAATTACTTTTTACGTGAAATTTAGTCTGACAATATTAAAATCGAATGTTTATTTTTCTACTTCGTAAATTCAGTTAATTGTCCAATAATGATGTCATGTATAAATAAGGATGACTTGCCTTTAGGTGTAACATATATATGATGAAGTTGGAAAATATATGATCATAATTTTCCACTGTCAAAACTTACAATCTATTGTTTTTACAAATTCAAATCATTAATTCAGTGAAAAAATTTATTTCAACTTTTTTCTACATTTACATAAATATCACGCTTTTTGGTTCAAAAAAAAAAAAAAAAAAAAATAGAAATGGCTAAATAAAGAATAAAAACAATTTAACTAAGAAAAAAGATGCTCGAATTTTCAATCTAAGAAAATCACGTTATGCTTTTTATAAATATTTAATATCAGTAAGGCATTCCTTTGTAATTTATTTATAATTTCTATTCTGGTTACCAATATATGTAAAATAGTACTTCATGGAATTAGAAAAGATGAATTGACATAGAAATATTCAACATATATAGACAATCGTATTTGGTAAATCGGTCAAGGATTCAAGAGTGAATCATTTTTTATATAATGTAACTCGTAAGAATTATTAAATTATAATACATAAACTTAATGGCTTTTTTGTTTAGCTTTTGAAATTTTTATCTTAAATCATTGTGTAAGTACAAATTTAATTCTTTAGATATCAGTCATTTTTGTGCATATTAATTATAATAATTATCATTTTTCTATAAACGTAGTTGATTATTATTACCAGTAGTGATAAATAATGACCATTTCTCTATAGTAATATTTGAAACCATTAATTTCTTTTCGTTATAAAGAAGAAAAAACATCAAACATATTGTAACATTTGCTTATTATAACAACAGGAATAAATCTTGACTCATATATGTGAAAGTGATGGTGCAAGCTGATGCGAGTGTGGTGCGTTCTGACAATAAGTGCCAAGGACAGTTCCAAGCAAGGCTATTACATAAGTGATGCAAGCGTATGTCCTAGAGATAGAAAAGAAATCATATTTGTGTTTTGTTTATTTATATAAATGTGTGTGAAGGCAAATCTATAAGATATCAATTATTGGCGTGGAATTACTTTTGTGTTTCTCTTACATCCCAAGAGAACACTATTAATACACCGTAATATGCAAGGTCAGTACCCTTTTGAAAGAAAATAAATAACAAAGTGGAATTATTGGGCGCGATTCGTATGTATATCAGATAGTGTAACATAATCAAACATGTAAAAACAAAACTGAGTAGTTGTGTTGGAGCTATAACAGTATGTATACATAATCAAGCACTTATTTATTTGAATGCTATATAGAAATAAATAAGTAATAAAAGGATAGAATCTACTGGAAAGAACTTGCAAAGGAAAGATCTAGAGAAAATTAATCTTGCCGTTGCTCACACTTCTTTTGTTAGCTTAATCTTGTATCGCAATCGATGTTAGTAGGTAACTCAATGTATGACAAGTACATTTGACATCGAGTGTTTATTTGTAGAGAGCAAGAACTATTTATCTTTTTTCCTTATCTAATCACGAAATAGTTTATGATAGACTCGGGAAGTTTAATCAGCCAACGTATTATCCAAACAAAGTCCTATTATTCTATCAGTCAAACTTTTATATATTTTAAAATCATTCCTGTTTTTTTCATATTTATTTTTCTTTAGGTGTTTGAACAAGTCAAACGAATATGCTTATATATGAAGTTTTCTCTATGTCGTGCTCGACAAAGCAAGAAGAATGAAGAGGAACGACAAATTACACATGAATGTAATATGTTGCTTTTTTTCCTTCTTCTGTTCTCCTGGTAGCTGCATTCCATTGCTATTCTTTTCCTTTTTTTTTGTGTGTGTGTCTCTCTTTGTCTCTAAAACTTAGTGATTACATATCCTTGGATAGTTGACTCAGTTTTTTCAGAGTAAAAAAGAAAAAGAACAATCCAATAAATCATGTTATTCATTCTCTATGTAAAAGAATATATATGAGTTTTATCTGAAAGAAAAACGTTTTGGTTTGTTTCCGTAACGGTTTTTTATATTCAGAACATTGATGCTATTGAGAATGATATGAAGCATTTACTTGGCTTTCAAAAGTTTTTCCATACCAGTGTTTTTTTTTTCTTTTTTCTTTTTTCTTTTAAAATCTTTAAGTAGATTCTTCATTGAAGTGAGTAAATAAATAATTATTGTATTTTTTATTATTTCTTTTTTTTTTTTTTTCTAGAGCAGAAAAATGCAAGTAACGTATAGAACGACCTATACATCACGTTATTTTCTTTGATGAGTTCTTTTTTTTTCTTTTTTTGTTAGTAATATCATTATTTTCTTTTGTATATAAGGATAATCCTTTTCATGTTCAGCATGGTACATTAATCTTTTAAAAATGTCAAACTAATCGTATCTACTTATTTCCTTGTTCTATACTTGATTTCATTATTAGAACATCAATTCAATTGATTATTACATTTATTGCTAAGGTCATTTTTCTTCATTGTTACATAGCTATTCTTAACTTTTTTAAGAAAACGTATTGTTCGTACATAAAAAAAATAGAGTTTTTTTTTTTTAAGACAAACTTTAAATATATCCATTATCTTAGATAATTTAAAATCACATTCGTTCGAATTGTTGGCTAAAATGAATAAACATTTCGAAATGTACACATGGAATAAATTAAAACCTTGTGTTTTACATCATTATCTAAGAAAAAAAAAACGATCAACTTATCAACAAAAGAAAGAAAAAAAAGTTTTCTTTTCTCAGACAAATAATATTAGTAATCATAGACGCCTGTTGATCTTCCTCTAAACCTGTACTGCATACTAATTTATCATTTGTCAAAACATAGTACACTATATAAAAACATGTAAGGGGAAATCATGTTCTTCTTTTTTTTGACTCAGTAAGTTCAGAATACGATTCTTAGTTCTCCTTAGAAATGAATATAAATCTGTTTGTCTGCATATGTCTTTTCTTAAACTAATCATATTATATATTAGAATTGATAATTCTATTCTATTGTAGATTATTACAAAATATCACGCATGTCTAATGTAAACAATTCTCAAAATGAGATTATTAACAATACTATTAATAATGAAACAAGTATTGGCATTGGTCGATCAGTTAGTAGTGCTCGTTTTCAAATAGCTAAAGTATCTAATAATGATGCACATATAGAAAATTCATTGGGCAAAGCCATTAGTATTCCACATAGTATGTTAATAGTAAAACAAAAAGAAAAAAGAATTGTGATAAGATAATAATATTGATTTTTTTTTTCTTTCTTTCTATTTCAATCAGATTTATCATCAACTATTCAACGTCCATCAATTTCTAATGTTAATAAAATAAAAATTTTAATTGGAGATGATGATAGTGAACATGGTAATGCTCCATGTGATTTAATACGAACAATAGATATGAATGCTAATTGTACATCAATAGATGATAAAAATAAAGAAATATGTTCATATGATACAATGGATGCATTACCACATATAGATCATTATAGAAATTTATTTTCAATAACATCACCTGAATCAAAAATACGACCAACACTTGAAGCATTACATGGAACAGCTAATGTGTCACAAAGACTTCGATTAGGATCAACAATTGATTTTAATAGTGAAATGATAAATACATTAGTATCACAAACAGAACAACTATCACAAATTGATATAAGACCAAAAGTTGATATTGTCAAATTTGGATGGATTATTGGTGTACTTGTATGTTTAAAATAGTTAGACAAAGAAAAACAAAATAAGTAGTTTTTTCTTGTTTGTTTGTTTATATTAGATTCGATGTATATTAAATATATTTGGTGTTATGCTTTTTCTTCGTTTATCATGGGTCACTGGTCAAGCTGGTATTGGTTTAGCAAGTGTAATTGTTATTACTTCCACAGCAGTAACTGTTTTAACAGCTTTATCAATGAGTGCTATTTGTACTAATGGAGAAGTTAAAGGTGGTGGAACATATTATTTAATATCACGTAGTCTCGGTCCAGAATTCGGTGGTGCTATTGGTTTAATATTTTCGTTTGCTAGTAAGAATTAATTATGAATAATTAGAATAAATAAGATTTCGAATAGATGCAGTTGCAGCTGCAATGTATACAATTGGTTTTGCTGAAACAGTTCGTGACATTCTTAAAGTAAAATATAAATCATACATGAAGAAAAATATGCTTTTGTTTGAAATAAATTTTTTTTTAGGAACATAATGTAAAAATATTAGGAACTATTGTTGATGGAAACTCTGTTAATGTTGTTCGAATAATTGGTAGAGATTTATTTCAATATTTTTTTTTCGTATATTTTAAATAGAAATTTAGGTGTTATTACAATGACAATTATATTAGGTATTGCTTTGATTGGTATGCGTGGTGAAACATTTGTACAAATAATATTACTTATAACATTATCAGCATCATTATTAGACTTTTTTATTGGTTCTTTATTACCAGTAACAGAATATAAAAAACGGCATGGTTTTGAAGGATATTCATGTAAATTTTTAGAAATATTTAAAAAATAAATGCTATACTTTGTTTTTCTATTTAGGGAAAGTAATCAAAGAAAATTTTATGCCAAAATTTCAAAATGGGGAAACATTTCAAAGTGTTTTTGGTATTTTTTTTCCTTCAGTTACAGGAATTCTTGCCGGTGCAAATATTTCCGGAAATTTAAAAGTAAATTATTTATAAATATTTTAAATTAGTCCTAATAATTACTTTTATTAAAGAATCCATCAAAAGCCATTCCGCTCGGTACCAACGTTGCTATTAGTCTTACATCATCTGTTTATCTTATTTTCTGTATTATAACAGGATGTACAACACGTCGAGAAGTATTTTGTAAGATTTTCTTTAAAATTTGAGTTGAATAAATAATTTTAGTTATTATTATTATTTTAAGTTGATTATTATGAACGACGAAATGGAAGTGATATACAAATAATAAATTGTTCATTAAATACAAATGATAGTAATTGTAAATCTGGCTTAATTTATAATTATCAAACAATGAGAATGATATCAGCATTTGGTCCAATTATTATTGGTGAGTTCAATTTGTTCTTTTTTTTTTTTAAATAGATTTATTTGATTTTTTATTTTTTGTGGTATTAGCGGGAATCTTTGCTGCAACATTATCAAGTGCTTTAGGTGAGTTGAAATCTTTTTTTGTGAAGCTCATTATAATGCAGTTTCTGATTTTCGTGCAGATAAGATTTGCTGTAAATAAAATGAATATGTGCAGTAGATTTATTAAGTGGCTGTATGAATAAGATGTTTTGTATAAGATTTACTTTATTTTTGTTTTATTTTTTTTGTAGCAAGTCTTGTTGGTGCGCCAAAAGTTTTTCAAGCTGTTTGTCGTGATATGATATTTCCTAGTTTAAAATACTTTTCTGTTGGTAATGGAAAATCTGATGAACCACATCGAGCTTATTTCTTAACATATTTTATTGCTGTTTCATTTATTGCAATTGGTAAAAGAATATTTTGAATTTATTAGAAAATCCTTTTTTGAGACTTAACTTTTCTTTTATTTGTTAAGGACAATTAAATGATGTTGCACCAATCATATCAAATTTTTTCCTTATGACTTATGCCTTAGTTAATTATTCATGTTTTGATGCTTCATTAGCTAAAGCTAGTGGCTGGCGGCCAGCTTTTCGATATTATAACAAATGGTTAGCATTAATTGGTGCATTATTATGTGTTGCAATTATGTTTATCATCAAATGGTAAAGATATAAAAGAACAAAGAAAAAAAATTTATATAATGATATTCTTTTATTTCGTTTTTTTCAGGTACACAGCTTTAATAACATTGGTTATTACTTATGGAATTTTTCTATATGTTCGAACAACAAAACCAGGTAAAGATAAGTTTTTATTATTAAATGATTTATTGAAGAATTTTTATTAATTAGAAGTCAATTGGGGATCATCTGTTCAGGCTCATACATATCGAAGAGCACTTGATGCTACGTTAAAATTAGGTAGCGTACAAGAACATGTAAAAAATTTTCGACCACAAATGTTAGTTTTAACTGGAAATCCAATTTGTCGTCCAGCATTAGTTGATATCGGTTCATTACTAACTCATGGTCACAGTCTAATGATTTGTGGTAATGTTATTTTGGTAAGCAAATGAACAAGCTTTTTCCTTTCCTTCGAAATATATGTATCCACAGATGGCACATGATGTCCCCCTGCTTTAAAAATTGTTCACGAAGTGCTCTCTCCTTCACCCATATATGTATATAAATGATTGAAAATTTAGGATGATCCATCGGTAAATATAAAATTATATGACCAGAAAGATAATTGTGAATTATGGTTGAAAAAACGAAATGCAAAAGCTTTTTATCAACCTCTTGTTGCACCAACTGTTCGACAAGGTACAATGGCATTGTTACAAGTATGTCATATTCATATTATTTGTATATTAAAGATTATTTGTAGAATTTCTTTCTGATACAAATAATTTCTAGTAGCGGATCTTTGATGAGTGAAGAGAATCTCTCTTAATATAATGAGCTAGCTGTTCTACACATAATATTCTAATGTTGGATGATCACATAAAAAAAAAATGAATAATAAATATTGAAGATCTATCAATTTTCGGGCTCATTATATCTACAAATTATTTAAAATTCAATATGACGAAATATCAATATCATTATTGTTGATTAGCAAAGACTATAGCAGAAATGAAATGAAATTTAAAATTACTTGTATCAATTTGTCAAATGATGAAAAATATTCAAATCGAGACAGAAAGATAAATAAACTGATGAGGAAACGTTTTCAACTAATCAATCACTTTTAAATTTGAACTTCGTACATAAGGTAGAATTTAGTAAGATATAAAAAACCTCAAAAGGATGAGTTCACTGAGACCTTCTATTCAGATTTATACGCATTTTACTTAAATTTTAGCCTTTCAGCTTGGTATATATCGACAATTTGAATGACGTTCTTTCGACCTAAGATTTTGTTCACAGACAGATATATATATATACGTATATCAGTGAACATCCTAAAAATTTCTTTTCTTTTTTTCTAGTGTGTAGGCGTTGGTAAAATGCGTCCCAACGTAGTCTTTCTTGGTTTTAAAAATGATTGGTTAACAAAACCACAAGTAACTGTTGATTATTTTAATATAATTCATGATGCGCTTGATCTTCATTACGGTGTTGGAATCTTACGTCTTCAAGCAGGACTTGATTTTAGTGATTTTTTTGGACCAGGTAAAAGAATTCTATTTTGTTTGTCTATATTTCTTTAAGGAAAAATCTTTTTTTTCTTGTTTTTTGTTTTGAATAGATTTACCTGAAGATCAAGATGATGATGATGATGATGATAATGAAAATAGTGATGATGAAGAAAAAAATGAAGAATTTATTTCATCAAGTCCATTACGTCGTATTTCAAAATCTTCTGTACCACATCAAACAAATGTTTTAATGTTAAAAAATACAATATTAAATAAAGGTGCTCTATTAACAATGAATGTATTTCAATCTAAATATTCATCATCACCTATAATTGATGTTTGGTGGTTATTTGATGATGGTGGTTTAACATTATTATTACCTTATTTATTACGACGACGAAAACGATGGCGTCATTGTCAATTTCGTATATTTTCATGTGTATCAGGCGAAAAAATCGATGCTGAAAAACAACATTTTGCAATGGCATCATTATTAAAAAAATTTCGAATAAATTATTCTGATTTACATGTTCTTCATGGCCTTAATAAAACACCAAATGAATATGAAATAGAAAAATTTAATCGAATTTTACAAGCATGGAATCAAAATGATGATACATATCGTATAACTGATAGTGAATATGAAGCAAATAAAGATAAAATAAAACGTGGTTTAAAATTACATGAATATTTATTAGAATATAGTTCAAAATCTACACTTATCGTTGTGTATGTTATTATTTTTTTTTTTTTATCGATTAGAAAACGAAATAAAACTTTACTTTTCTATTTAGTACGTTGCCGATCCCACGTAAACAATTGATATCAGCTGGTCTATACCTTGCTTATCTAGATGTAATTAGTAATAGCTTACCACCAGTTTTATTTTTGCGTGGCAATCAAAAAAATGTCCTTACTTATTATTCATAGTAGTTTTATTTAAATGATAGAACACGTATGCTTTTTTTTTCTTCTAGTCTCCGGTGATTTCTTTTTTGTCCATTGTAATTTTTATAAGCAATTAGATGATGATTACAGAAGAGAAAAACAAATGAAAGTATTTACCAATGGTTAATAATATTTTTCTGGTTTATTTTTATTTTAATTTATTTTATTTTTTTTTTTTTGTTTCTGATAAATATATAATATTATACAAATATTTAACAAACAAAATGAAAGTATTATTATGTTGTTGAAATAAATAAAATGACTGAAAAATTTTACATTTCCTTTAACAGTAAGCCATGCTTCAAACTTTGTTACAATAAAACATTGACGTTGTTCATGATTAAATTGAACGTTTTATATGTTATAAGTAGAATATGAGTTTGGTTCGTAGCGATTATCAATTACGGATTGATATTTCGATGAAAGAAGAATCAAACTAACATATGAAGAATAAAAATAGCTATTTTATTTCGAATTTATCGTTGATTTGATCTTCATGTCATAATGCTACATATCCGTGATATCAAGAATGTAGACGCTACTTTCAGTCAAGATTGGACCTACCAAACTTTCCGACAATGCAGAAAAAATTATGAATCTACGAGTAGTGAGATTTTTCTAAATTCGAACTTTTATGAGTATGATTATAAATTGTAACTATTTCTTGCAATTAAATTGTGTCTCATTTGAATGTCCCTTCTTTGTTTGTTTTTGCTTAAGATTACAATAGTTTGATGTTTTATTCCGATAGTTGATATATAGTAAGAAAATATAGATTTCGCTGCATTGCCTGATATATTTATCATGAATAATACATTAGGTTCAGAAGAGAAAAAGAACAGCATGTTTTTCTACTACAATGTACAGTAATAGTAAATTGAGGTTTCTTATTTTCTCCTTTTTCTGTCGCACGTATGAACGTATTTTACTTTAGTCTTTAACAAGAAAAACAAAGAGAGGAAACTCAATTAACGCGTACTGTACTACGCTATCATTATTCTACGGGAACCATTATATAGTACAGAGCTTTGAAACTATTTAGTAACATTAATGCTCGTTTGAATCTAAAGCCTATCCGAATTAACCGGAACACAATGTATTATCATAAGAAGTCATTTGAATAAATAATTTCCTCAATACGAATTGAGTTTGAAATTTAGGAAGAAATTTCTTGCATGATAATTGTCTCGTGTTAAAATAGATAAGATGAATTTGTGAATGATTTATTTTGAAGATTCAAAACATGAGTATATATGAGATTAAAGCTCTGTGATATGGTCAATTTCGTTGCTTTATTAAAATCAACAATTTTGTAATAAAACAGATCGTATACGAGCTTTGTCGATTGAGTCTCGTTTACCTGTGTTATTTCTGTATTTTAAAAATTAAAACAGCAATTAATTAGCAGGATATTTCATTAATTTTTATTCCATATATTAAGTTTTTTATAAAGTCCATCTGTTCAACTAATTTTACATGTAATACATTATAGGATGAAAAAAATAAATTAGTATTATATAGTTGAATAAGTGCTCATACTACGTAATACATAAATATAAAAAATATAATGATCGACAGTGACTGAAATAAATATTAAATTAAATAGCTCACACCTTTCATTTATTTGAAACTAACCTAATTAGTAATTGAAACGACGTATAAAGAAATTGATATATTTTTACAACCAATAGTTTTTAATGCTGTTTCAACAGTTCTGAGAACAATTGTTACATTATGACATTTACGAGAGTTTCACATATTTATATTAACATAAGAATAAGACATAAGATAAAATATTTAAATCGAATTTATTACTGTAATAGAGCAGGGAGTCCTGGATAAATGTCGTTACCGTTCTCTTGGAAGTAATTCTATTCCCAAGATAAATTACTCGGAAAGTCTAATATGATATTATTTATCACAATCTGAAAGTCTAGAATTCAAATTCTAGTCTTTTTTTGTCTCTGAACTTTACTAATTGTGAAATAAAAACTATTTATCAAATGCTAAATTATATCGAATTTCATCGTGTCATGACATGATGAACTTTGTACTCATTTCATCGTTCGACAATTGACTGTTCCGCTCTTCTTTATTTATTGCATAATTGATTTTAAATTTGATAAGGAAAAAAAAAGAATTAATCGTATATTTATATTGGAAGTATAGAATGTTCAAAAAGTCCGGTCGAAAAAGAAACAAGAATATCTCTTTAATCATTTAAACAATTTTACGTGAGATTTTTTATAGTTTCATTTCATATTCATTGAAGTTTTACTTCACATCAATTTGTCTTTAATAGATCACTTATAAATGAAATACACAAATCTATCATTATTGAAAATATCTGTAACAACATTGTATGGAAATTTAGTTTGAAACCTTTTTGATCTTATTGTGCATTTTCATTTTCAATTAAACTAATAGATCTTTGACAGATATCTTATAAAAATTATTCTCTACATATTTCTATAAAAAGCGTAGAGTTGCGTCAACTCAGCTAACCGTAATGTGCATTGAAATGAATTGCCTCTTCGGACATTTACAGACTTTGCGGCTCAAATCCGGAGGGATCCCAGCTTTGTGAAATAAGATGAAGTTCATATACCATAAGCTTCTTAGTTCTTTGAACTAAAAAAAGGCTTAAAATATAGTAAAATATTTTTCTCCATTGATAATGTTATCGCGAAAAAAATTGTCCAAACACTCGATTTTCTAATTTCACACAAGAAACATTGCATTTTCACGATTGTATAATTACTTCAATACTTTCATGAGTTCATGATGTCTGTTAAAAATCTCATCAAGCTGAAAATAAAAATGCCCAAGATGATTAAAAAGATTTCAAACTGAATTTTCATAGAATGCTTCGATAGATATCTTCGCAAATGATAAGTTTGTGTACTCCATTTATAAGTGGTCTGCTAGAGACAAATTTATGTGAAATAAAACTTCTATAAATGTGAAATGAAAGCATGAAAACCTTACGTAAATTGCTTGAATAGTTAAAACACCATTCTGATTTCTTTTTCAATGTGATTGTTGTAACATCGTATACTATGTCTGCTGATAGCAATATTGTTAATGTACCAAATGTAAATACTTCTGTTCGACGTCATATGGTTATTAGATTCTACCATTATCTATATGCTTTTATTCAATAATTTCAAACTCAAAACAAATTGAAATATTAGAAAAATAAAAATAGAAAATATAATTTTGTTTTTCGTTGAAGATTTTATCTTATTGTTACAAGCTTTACAGTAAACAAGCTAGGAAAATAATATTCTATTTGTATTTTATTTAAAAATAAAATCAATCACTTATTGTATTCGAGTTTGAGACCATTTAATGTTATCCTATAATTATTTTATGGTAAAACTAGAATAGATTTGAAGTGGATTAGAAAGTGCACTTTGTATAAACACAGATCGTTAACTATTCATTTGTTCAATGAAAGAAAAACCATTACGAATTGCATAAAAATTTTTTAATGCTCATAAAATATCGTCTTACTAAACATGTTGAGTTAAATCAAGGTTTTCCATATGCTTTTTGTATTTGTAAGAAAATTTCATCTAAAGAAATGAGATTATGATTTTGTGCACTTTTTCATAAGATAAATTCCAAGCATTTCAATAGCTAATTCATATAAAGAACTAGTATAAGGAAAATCTTTTATTAATGATAAAGAAAACTAAAAGTTAATTAATGAAGTTTTTCTTCTTTCTATGTACAAATTCTTTTTTGAAACTCATCAAAATGTTAAATTTTGTTTATTTTTTATTTTATCCTTTTATCTTCAGTAATTTTTTTCCCAAGAACGGGAAGTCATTTTGAAACAAAGTTGATCTCCTCATAAAATTCAATTTCATCTTACCTATTTTTCATTTAGACTGTCAGAAGTCTTTATATAATTATATTAGGCCTTTTATTACATTATTTACCGTATGTCAAGTGACTGAGGTAATCCAGGTTTATCTATATTATATGTTCTCAGACATACCAAGGTATAGAGTATTTTTCATTGAAAGTACTTCACTTATATTTGCTTATATATTCAGTCGATTTCAATTCGCTATCTTATGTTGTATAAAAATATGAGAAAAGATTATTTCTTGCTTGCCCTTGTACACGGCTATGATTCACATCGTACACTACCAATGAACTCTCATGACGAAAAGCACTTACTACGCTGCTCTGACCATAGCGAACCTTATTCGACTTAATATGAATCCGTAGATCTATACGAGATCTATATAATAAGACTAAAACACTTCAGAGGAAACGCGACAGGCTGCATGTCTCGATTTTGAAATACTCATAACAGCTTTATATTGAGTATTGCTATGTATATGATCAAATAATGGTGTAGGAATTTTGGTTGATTAAAATGTATGGATATACTCTGTATTCGATAAAATACGAGTATGTTTATTCTTTCGAAATGTTTAAAATAGTGAGTGAGAGAAGGATGTGGGTAGGAGATGCGTACGCGTGAATGAGAAGAATATCTACATCTACACCAGAAAGGGTAACTTTTGTCTTTACACTTTAGGATGCATTCAGAAGAGGTTCTTTGTTCAAAAACAGGTATACAATGTTTTTGTTTACAAGTTTTTCTCCGCAGTATAATCCGAAATAGTAAGAATCGATTGAACATCAAGCAGAGATGTCCATCGCGGCTGAGAACCTGCCGCTGCCGCTATGGTTTTCAAAAAATCTTTAGAAAATTCCTGTTATCGGAGAACGGAACTAATACTATTGGTATTAATCGATGAGATTTATCTTGTCTCTGACTGTTGCACTTATGAACACCCGAATTCTGTGCAAATTCATGAAGTGTTTGGCAATGCCTTCTAAAAGGAGCCTGTCACTACCGCGATGGTATTTTCAAATTTCTTCCGCGCCGCTACTGGCCACCGCGGCAATGGCAGCACCGCGATGGAAATCTCTGGCACCAAGTAAGAACTAACGAGGGAACATTCCCAGATTCACATTCACTTTTGCGTTGACACTTTGCGCATCTTGTAGACCTTAATGAGTCATGACTATGATAAAAAACAGTTAGTATCCATGGCCTACTGGTGAAAAGTTATAGCTGTTTTACTGAAATTTCCACTATGAGCCAGGCATTTCGGAAAAAAATCAAATTAAAGAGTTTCGATATGAAATTTTACCTATAGATAGATTTAATAGTTATTAGATAGTTGCGAGAGTTTCAAAAAAACAAACGTGTCTTTCTCGGGATATTCAATGTTCAGCTAAACTGAATTATTTAGTTTGGTTTTTTCCGAAATGCCTGACTCATAGTAGAAATTTCAGTAAAACGACCATAACTCTTCACCAGTAGGCCGTGGGCACGAACTTCTTTTATCATAGTTATGACTCATCAAGGTCTACAAGATGCGCATAGTCTCGACTCAAAAGCAAATGTGTACCTGGAAATGTTTCCTCATAAGCAGTAAATGCATGCTAAGCATTTTCATACTATCATCAGAAAAACACCGGCAATGGTGGGAACCGATGTGTCACATAGGCGACCTCGCATCTTTCTGGGTCAATTGCAAAGTCATTGAAAGATCGACTGATATAGCTGAGGATGTCGATGAAATGCGTCTGGAGTACGTATGTGGATATGACTGATAAGAAGTGGTTACTTTCTCACACGGATAGCGACACCTACATCTGCTGACATTAGCATGAATCAGATTTCCTTGCACTCTTATAAAAACGAGGGAGCAAATTCGATTAAGAATTTGTCCATCTATTCAGATGATATTCGTTCGAAAATAATTCAATCTAAATCCAAATTTTTAACTCTCATTTATTTTTCGCCTGCAAAAGTAACTGAAAGTATTCATACAGAACATATGTATTCTCGACTGGGGATAAATTACTTGTTATGGTGTTCCTTCTTTTCCTCATTTTAATACTTGTTTCTCTTAGGTTAATGTCTTACTCTTGTATTAGTTCAAGATTTCAGCAACATCAAGCCTGAAAGGATAATTTTTTTATCTTAATAAAATTTATAAACAGCAAGAAGAGGTTTTTCCTAGCACCTCGATAGATAAAATCTGACAGAACTACCTAATGACATCTGAAGATTTCTAGAGAAATGGTACAACATGTTCTCTCGGGTCTAAAGCCTAACTTTTATTTTATAATAGTGTGGCATTCATGTTCTAAGTCGTCATTGTGTTAGTATATCGTATCTATCGAGACTCTAATGAATCTTTTATGAACAATATACGTAGCCATGTTCTAGAGAATACTGCGAAACAATCAAATATCGAACCAATCGTAGTCTTTTGTGTGTTCAACAATAGAATCATCATAGAGAAGTAAATGAAGAAAAAGTTCACGTAGTACATAGATTAGGGATTTGCTAATGCCCTAATTTGTGATGCCGTTAACTCACAACTATGCACATAAAATTCATCAAATGCACCAGTAAATGAACCTCCAATACCTGGAGAGCAGACATTTCGACCACCATCGTTGCCTAAAATCATATACATAGGAACGCCAGAGGCAGAATATGAAAAACCGCCTGTATTTGAATACAGAACACCATTTATATATAATTGAATACCATTACTTAAGCTATACGTATATCCGATGTGTGTCCAACTATTTAATGAAAGCATGGGACCATTAGCGGTTACATCGTTGCCATTCCACAGATGTGCACTTAGATATCCAGCTGATGTCATCACCATAAAGTGAACGCACCAGCCAGACAATTGTTGCATAAAAATCAGTGTCGAGTCTGCGTAACTTCCTGTCGGTTGTGCCCACAAAGATATACTAAAAGCATGATTACTAATTCCCAAAAAGTAAAATGGACCATATGTGTAGTATATGGAGGATCCCGAACTAAATTGAATCGCTCCATTGACGCGACCAGTTGTACTTGTTAGACTACCTGAAGCAGTTCCATTTATACCGTTAGGACCATTATCAAGGAGAGAATTATCGTTGAACGAATAGTAGACATATAGAGAAGCATCGTTCCAGAGCTCAGTACTATTTTTAGCTCTGGACTCAAATCGAACTTGGTCTATGTAGCCATTGAAACAAGCTAGACTGCCTGTACTGTTCGTAGCACCAATAGTTGTTATGCCCCATAAACCTTGATAAGGACTTCCAGAATGTGAACCATCAAGCACACCATTAAGCCAAACTTCTAGCATTTGTCTGGTCGAATCATAGACGCAAGCGACATGAGTCCATACATCCATTGTTAGTGTGGTACTACCCTGTACATCGTTGCCATAAAAACCACAATATAACTTGTTGTTTCGTGATGTAAAATAAAAACATAAATTGGTACTTATAGATTGACACTGACCAAATATTCCATATTCGCCTCCTGTAAAGCCAATAGGATAAATCCATGCTTCGATAGTAAAACTACGTGAATCCAAAGGAATTACCACTGGTGTGATCGAAACAAATTGAGATGATGATTGAGTAAGACTGATCGCTGCTCCGTATCCAAGAAAACTAGTTGTATATGATGGAAGACCGGAAAGATTACCATCAAGACCATTATATAATTCAAGAGCACTATTATCAAATGGCCAAAACGCGTGAGCTATGGATGCGGCAGTTGTAGTAGTGGTGGCTAAAATTACGTGTTACATATCAAAAAATATTTTAATCTAGGAAAATGGTTTCTTAGTTAAAAAGCATCGGAAGTAATAGACTTTATTGTTGTTATCGGAGAAAAAATTGTTCATGAAACTATTGAGAGCTAAGATCGTTCAAGAGTGCAAAGTGGTACAATTTTAAATCAGTTTGTACAGATCAGCTTTAAATTATAATTTCTTTTATTGAAAATAAAAAGTCAAGGGGAAAAAGGTACACCTCTTTACTTCTTTACGCTTCTTCTTACTTCTTGTATTTTTTCACACTTTTCCATGCTCTCTCATATTTTCCAACATGCATATTTACTATTATATAGGTTTGAGCATTCCTTTCACTCAAAAGACAAAATAGCAATATAGTCAGTTTCTGTTTATAGTACAAATGTTGAGGGCATGTAGGTATAGATATGTGTAGCTGTGGGGACTGGATTTGAATGTGGCTCGAGTGTAAGCGAAGGTCGTCTCCACCCCTACATCCACACCCTCGATGGCGAAGATGAAGAAGAAAATATTACTTTATCAAAAATAAACTCTATGGGCTTTAAAATTTTAGGTAAAATTCATCCACATTAAATAGATGCACACTTCAAAATCAAAATTAATGAGAAGTATCCATATTTACATAAACAATTAGCATGATGGCTCTTAACGGATAAAACAATTGTTTATGAAGTCATCATCTTTATCGTGTCATTTAAACAAGCAGCAAAATATTACCATTAATGCTGTGTATTTTGTGAAACGCGATGTAAAAGCAGTATCGAAGTATATAAGGGTAGAAACTTGAACATTCCACCTTCCTCTCCCAAGGTGTTACAGGCATGTTGGCAGCAACTCGTCACTGACTCTGACAGATCTAACGCCGGTGCCAAAGCTCTCTGCGGAATTTGTATCATAGTCGTTTTCTACTTGTCTGTCACACTCACTGCAATATATTGTGATTGATGTCTTTTGTCATTGGCAAGCATTAAAAATAGGTAGCAATTCGTAAGTCGAAACATATAGCGATTGATTCCCTCTTTTAAAATGCCAGTAACTTCATTGTGTTTCTCCTTTTAATTGCGTTCGGATTACGCTAAGACGTTTTCTTATGTTATCTTTTGCTTTTCAGTGAATATCTTAAGTCAACAAAAACTGTGCCATCTTTCCATAAATATTTTTATACTTCTCGATGCTTATCGGGGCTCCTTAATATTTCTGAATACTTCTTGGTATTTCTCTTTACTTCTTTATACTTCTCAGCACCAGACCTCGAAATGGGCCAACCGGTCCAATGGCCCGGCCCGGCCTGGCTCAAACAGGTTTTTCTACCGGACCAGGCAGGCCTCACCAACAAAGAACGGTGGGCCGGGCGTGCGAAAAATTTTATTGGGTCATCCGGCACAAACTTCATCTCTATTTTCATCAGAGTTACCACGTCGGAAAATAGAAAAAATCAATTTTTTTAAAATTTCATGTCCAGTTAAAAATCCATTGAAATCAAACCAATTGAATAAAAAAGAAATCTGATGTTTTTCCACTTTGAAAGTAGATTTTGTTTGGTTTCAGCCTTTCTTAATCGAATTTTAAGAGAGAGCTTTAATGTACAAAACTATTAATGGATCAAAAGAGACTAAAATGAATTGAAATCCATCTTTCAAACTCAAAAAAATAAATTTCAAGAAGAATAAAATAGCATCATCTTATTAAATTTTTTCTCATAAAATACTCGATTTTTTCTGATTTTTCCTTAAAGTTCCTTAGATGGGCTTTGCGTCTTGCAACTAATGGTAACTTGGAATCTCTATTATGCAAACTGTTTGGAAGTTTTATGTCTGATATAAAAAAACAGAATTTATTTGGTTCAATTATATTGTTCATCTACGCACAAACCTAAGCACACTATCCAAAGAATTCAGTAGCATGGATTCCACTGAAGTGCAACTAGGTTAACCATATGCTAGAATTAATAGCATCACTAAAAATGTTAAACGATCTCACTCTGTGAAATTGATCGGCAGACTATTTTCTTGTGAAAGTTTGTGCTAATAGATGATAATCCTCAAGAAGTTCGAGTATCTGCGAAGAAACTTTGGCATTTCTGTTTAATATGCAATTTGGCTTGACTCTAGTGTTTTTCTCCAAAACATTAACATTGTTAGATTTTACTTAACTTATAATCACTGTGATAATACAATTTTTACAATGTTCTTATAAATGATCGTAGTGCTGGTGCAGTTTGATAGTGTAGAAATGCTTGTTGTAAAAGAAATATACTTTTCATAGTGCTATTCTAAGTTAGATCGGGTCGAGCTCCGATAGAGCAGAAGTCGAGCAGGGCGAGCATGAGAAATTCTTGGCCCTGCCCGGCCTGGCCCGTACCGAGCCATCAAAAGGTGGCCCGTTTCGAGACCTGCTCGGTACTTCTGTATTTCTTCGTACTTTATGATGCCCAGAAGTATGATTTTTTGTCGTTCTTAAAAATACTTATAAACATATGAGGTTTCTATGAGGCTGACTTATTTATCACTTGATTTAATGTGCGTACAATCTCATGAGTGGTACATATATGACAAACGAAATTATGTCTAGAAGGACTTCACAAATATGAAATATCTAAAGAGGTACATATATTTACTCCCAATGTATATACCTGGAATCTCTTTCTGAATATCTTCCCAATTCATGAACATCGAAAACTCTTATAACTCTCTTTAAATTTAGGTTTTTTGAAAATATCATGTCGGAAACTTTGGTGGTATCTAGGATAGATAGAGTGCTCTCACTTGAGGTCGTCGTTGTCGTAGAGGTTGTTGTGGTCGTTGTGGTCGTTGTCGTAGAGGTGGTTGTGGTTGTTGTCGTTGTAGTCGTTGTTGTTGTTGGCGTCGTTGTTGTGCTTGTCGTTGTGGTCAGAGTAGCTAAAGATGGATTCACATAAAACATTGATACAGAAAAACACAGCTGAAGAAAATCTATCATAGCTATTGTTTCTAACGAATTGATTCAGCAAATGAAGTCCGAAGGTAGTTCTTCTTTTCACGCGCATACACCACTCTCACATTATGTTTGTCGTCCATGAGTATGGCTTTCCGAAAACATCGAATGCGTGAGACTTTGCGTTTGACTATGTCTGATGTCTATAAAAATAGTCTGAAAGTGTTTGCTTAAAAAAGAAGATCGTATGCAAGATATTTAGCTGACAAAATGTGTTCCATTTATCGAGAAAAAATACATTTATTAGCAGTTAAATATTTTGGAGAGGATACTCTTATTTGAGCAGAATCCTTCTGGAATTCCTGTGGCTCTGTTCTACTTTCATGCGATACTTCGGTCCAGAACTCCTGCATCCAATACTTTCGAGAAACCTTGAACAAGGGTTGAAAATGCCACAAAAATGCATTTGACTCTATCTAGGAGTATTATTCGTAAAAATTCTTTTAGAGCTAAAAGATTCTCATACTTATTTATACATGCACTGAACATGAACACAAAAGCTATGAAAAACTTGAAAACGTTTCTACGTCAGATGTGACAATTGATGAGCAAACAAATCCAGAAACATGCATGAATATCTATTAAGGGTGTTATATTTACATTACTCGATTTAAGGCTAATCCGACTGATTTACTCAGCTTAATAGATAGTAGTCACTCCCCCTCGGACAAAAAAACGACCTTTTTCCATTTCATTTTTGCATCACTTAATAAGTTGTTTTAGAAAAACAAAATATACCAGGAAATGCAGCGTGAAAAGAACTACAATTTGCAAAGTAAAGCTTATTTTAATTTTGTACTTTTTGTTTTCAAAAAAAGCAAAATTGTGTACGACCAATTTTCGACGCTGCGAAAAAATCATTTTTTCTGATCTCATCCTNTAACTGCTCTGTAAAACTGTTCTGCTCCTTGTGAATGTTTCATTTATGGCAGCCTAAGTAAAATGTTTTTTTTTTTTATTTTAAATTATATTATAGGATTAGTTTAACGAACAGTAAATTATTTATTTTATATTATTTTGTAATTTAGATAAGATAACCCCATGAAGTCAATCAAAAGTGAATATAAATTATTTGATTCTAGTCTTTTCTTTATCTTAAACTTATTATTAAAGAATTAAATAGAATAATAAGTTAAACTAATCCTATAATATAATTTAAAATAAAAAAAAAAAACAAAACAGCAATTTATAATTACTGTTCGTTGAGTTGTATAGCTCTCTTTGCCATTGTAAACATTCGTTTAAGAACGTGAATATTTTATGGAGATCAGTGGAAAATGGCTTCGCCTTGTTATAAGACATGTTGCAAATATATTTCACATGTTGTTTAATAATCAAAAAAAGTAAAACTAGGTACTTTAATATCATCGGATTTCGTTCAATAGCCCAAGAATATGATAGAATGACTTGGAAATAAGATGTAATTCGACATCATTTATGTTCATAGACGTTAACTATATTACTTCATATCATTAATACGAGATGCTAAGATAGTTTTTTTTTAGCTTGTTCCTTAAGTTTGCATCAGATCAGATCTGATTGCACAATTATAGCAATTTTACAGTGAATTATTACTAGTTTTTTTTTTTGGTCTATATGGATATTATTAAATGAGCTTTTTCAAGAGTATTTATGATACATGTGTATGAATCGAAAAAATATCTGCATTTCGTGCTCGATTCTTCAAAAAACTCAATGAATACAATTATCCCTATAGATCAACTTTTATTTAACAAAAATGTATAACGAAATAAAAAAATATGACATCAAATATTAGAGAAATGCGATACAGCGACTTATTAGAATAATTTCACTATGAAGAGTCACAATCAGGATCACTATCATCATTCTTATTGTCTTGACTACAAGAGTCCATAGAATCTATTTTAAATTGATAATAAAAATTGTTGTGATTATTTACGCATTGTGACGCACGAGGTCGATTGACAGTTTTTTCTAAACAGAAAGAAGATTAGTGCGAAAAAAAAACAAGAGTCAGCGATGCTTACTTTCTTGAATAATAGTGGAATACGATCGTGGAGAGATAGGTATGTATTGATTATTTTCAAGGTAGCATAACCAAAAGGCTAATTTACATGAATCAAGTTTTTTAGTTTCGATGATTTCTTTAGTTATCATTTGATTTTGATATAAATTAAACATGTGAATCCGCACTCTATATATAACAAATAAAAAAAATCATAGTAAAATCGTCTAAAAACAAGAAGGTCAATTACTTACTCTTTTAAATTAGATGCATGTTCTTCTGCATTAATCTGTAAGTAGACATTTCTTGTGTTTGGATCAAAATGGTCTGCTGGATTACATTCATCAAAATTCAAGCAGCGAAGATTGTTATCGTGAGATAATTGATCTATTCTGACACATGTTTTTGGTGGTACAATTACTTTAGAATCATGACTTTGGTTATCTTGAGTTACGACTGCAATACCAAGGTACATCATTTGAGAGTATTGAAAAGGAACCTATAAATTATATAAGATTTTATATGAGGAATTATCATGACAAAGATCAAAAGCTTACTTTTACTCGAATTGGTGTTCGTTGAGGGCCTTCACCAGATAGAAATGGTATATGTTTTTTAGCTAAATCTTTCAGACTTCTATAATGCCAGTCTGATTTTGGTTCCGTGATAATATGTGGTTCTTCATATACATTATTTATTGGCATTTGTCTATCAAGAATATGATTAGGTCTAACGCGCAAATCTTCAGATAATTCCATTGATTCATCAATAGACATGGGTCGTTGAAATTTGAAACGTTTACTGTTTTTTGATAAATCGAGAGGTGAATCTTGTGATTCATTTTCATAGGTGGTAGGATATGATGAATAAAAAGCCTCGTTACGCCACATGTCTAAATAGATGCAAAAAAATTAATAATATATGAAAGATTCTCTTTTTGTTTAGAACAGAACTTATTAAGTTATACAAAATTTGATCAATTAGTTTCTTTTTTGGAAAGAATATTTTAAAACTATTTCTTGAAAAAATACAGCAAAGTATATATATATACATACCTTGATTGTTGATTATCTTTCCCATATGTAAAATTGATAATAAATGTCTGTCCTCAATTGTAAAATAATAATAAATCTGAAACAAATAAAAAAAATGACTAGTTTTTCAATCGCTTTTTGATATTATGTTAGATTCTGAAATTATCATGCAAATGATGAAAAAAAATAATACTAGTTCAATGAAAAGACTAAACTAAGAACACCATACATTATATTTACTTAAATTATTGCTATTTGTCAATGTAGAATTATTATTAATTGTTGTATCTGAATTCAACTGAACTTACGATAAAGCTTTTTCAAAGATCAAGTCATTTTTCAATCGAAATGATGTTCATTTAATGGGGTATTAGTGACTTATAGAAAAGTCTAAAATGGTTTGGTTTTCGGAAACTTCGTTCTTGAAATATCGAAATTGTGTTGGATTTTTCAACAAAAAAAAAGCTGTAGTTCTCTCTCAGGTCACTTGAAAAATCGACTTTCGAGTTTTGACTTCAAACTTTTTATGAACAATGCTGTCAATGAGATTAGTTCATGGGATAAATTGTAACTTTTCTAGTATCTTCTGTCATGAGATATTCAGCATTCGAAATTTTCTCATATTTAGAAGCAAATTTTCTTCATATATTTAAGTACTAGAAAAGATAAAATTTGCATAATCAACTAATTCTATTGATAATTTTGTTTGTGCAAAGTTTGAAGTCAAGTCTCAAATGTTGATCGTTCCATGTAATTTGAGGTAAAACACAGTTCTTTTTTTGTTGAAAATTCAGTAAAATTTCGATATATTACGAACCAAGACTTGAAAAACAAAATTATTTTAGAATTTTCTGTTACTCACTCTAGTGCTCATCAAATAAACATCGTCTCTGTTGAAAAGCGATTTTTCGTCTCGAGAGACTCTTTCATGAGCTTCTATAATTGTTCATGCTTGAAAAATATTTAATTTTGTATTCTTTTTGTATCTCACCAATTCTATTGATTTTTCACATGTAAATTTTACTCAAAAATCCATGAAATAAATCTTATATATTAAATTTATGAATAATCAGTTGAATATTATGTTGTCGCAATTGATTGTTCACATAATTTGAATTGCAGTTGATAGACATTATATATGTCTGATTAATTAAAATTGGCATGATTCGAAATGTAATGCATAATCATTAAGAGTCTTTTTTATGATTGTTCACCTGCAATGTCTTAACTGTTTTTTATAATTCAGAATGTGGACCTTGTACTTTGTTTTTGTAACGTGTCACGAAAAAAAAAAACAGAACAGCAAAAATGGTTTTGTAGAGTAGGAGTAACGAATAATCGTGACGACTTGGAAAGGAATGAGTCAGTATTCACATAAAAGCCTTTTTTTTTCTTCTGATCGTCATACACAAAAAATACCTTTGACATCACATTTAATCATTCGTTTAACAGAAAAAAAAACAAATATCATGCCTTGAATCAAGGATGACAAAATATCAAGCAAGGAAATTTTCAACAAAAATCTAATGAATGGGAAATTTATCACCACATAATAGAAATAGCACTTAATAATAAATAGACGAGTGAATAAATACATGATAGTAATATGTAAAGAAATCACTAAAGTAAGGCTAAGTCACTTGGAAGTGATTTATAGAAGTGCCACTAAAGGTTATTGTTAACCTTGAAATATTTTCAAAAAGAAATGTATACAATTTATATCAGCATCTAATTCTAAAGTAAACACCATATTTAGTTTTTGATGTAACTTTGAAAAAAAAAGAATATCATATGAGTTACAACCAAAAAATAAACAGAGAAGAACTGACGAAATATAGTTTCATTAAAAAAATATTGTATTTTTTTTAATGAAACTATGTTATAATCTATATATATATTGTCTAAGGTCCTTCCCGCAATACAAAACTTCGAGTCTTCTATTGTGATTAATTTATTTCAATAATTTTTTTATTAAAAGAGTTTCTCAGAAAAAAAAATAAAATTTCTTTTTGAGAATTTGAGAAGATATTTTTAGGGCTTTAAAATTCTAGAAATAATGCTGATCTCATTCTTTGAAAACTTTCAACTCAAAACTCTGGAAACTGGACATATTTCGATATAAATATACTAAGTAACACTTCCAAGTTTCGGAAAAATTAATTAATGAAAACAAGTCTTATCTTACGTTCGGCGCATCGTTTCTTCAAAGAAGTTTTCTATTATGAGAAGAGATTTAGTTTATAATTTGATCGCACTTTTGATTTACTAAAATATATTAAAAGATGAACAATAATTTTATTAGCACTTCTATTCGTTTGAATATCTTCAAATTCAGTGAATATGTTTTAGTAGAAGCTTGTTAATTCAAATGGCAACATTTATTTTAAAACAATTGAAAGAAAGATCAATGAAAAACAGTAGTGTGTGCGTGTGTCAAATTATTCTACTTACATTGTTCTGTTCTGAAATAAAATTTCTCTTAAATGCATCTATAACTGGAAATATTGACCATTTACCAAAGAAATCTCCAACTTTATTGTGTGCAGAGAAAAAAGTAAGGAAGCAGACACATCTTATCATAATAAACGGTTGGAAATTTACTTCGTATGTAATAATTTTCGTACACTTGGATAAAACAGACAGACAAAAGGGAATGAAATCATGAAATTACAACATTTAGTCATCTGTGCTGGGCAAGTGCATGGGATTTCACCTTAGTAAATTAACATCTTGGAAATTTCGTCAACAACATCTATATCAAGTTTTATATGTCAAAACGTTATGATAAATGGCTTCGCAGAATTATAGCGATTATTTTTGTAATTAAAATGCGAGTACGAGGCAATTGGTGGCAATTGTCACACCTAAAAAATTGGTAAGACAGGGGAGGACCCTTATTCAAATATTACGTGGCCACAATTGCCACACCTCGCGGCCATGGGCCGGCCCGCCAGTGTCGTTAATGAATCATGTATATTCAATGACGAAGTAAATGTAGGAACAGATGAATATTACGTCGAAGACATTGACAATATGGGGGAAAAAACCAGATGATTGATGAAATAATTAATCGCAATATTCTGTTTCATTGAGGTTCCTCAACTATACTCATCAAACCAAAGTATTTCTCATTCTTTAATGGATACAATTGATTGACGTAATCGGCTACTTGTTAATTTACTTCTCTTAACATAATTAGTTATAATTTACTTCTCTTAACATAATTAGTTATAAGAATACATGAATATAAAAAAAACATACATCGTTTTTCTATTTGTTATATTTTTTATAGTTCAACATCCCGTAGTTCAATATGTTTTATCAATGATACATCACTTTAGAACAAGATTTTGATATATGCAACAACAAATTTAATTTTAAAAAATTCAACTAATATTAATCAATTAAAAAACAAAATATCTCACTGAAGATTTTTAAAGATTAAACTAGTAATGTTGTGTTCTGGTTTGAATAAAAAAATTATTAAAGAACAAAGAATATTTTGATTTTATTAATATCAGTAATTATCGCCGACATTGAAGTTGGAATTACCAACATAAAAGTACTAATTAGTTATTATCGACGAGATTTAGTCAAAATTTCAGATTGTAAAAATAACATTATTAATCTCAAATCAAAGTCATTCGAGACAAGTATTCTAACTGATTATTTACTTTTGATTCGAGACTATATGCTTCATGCAAATCCTAATAAGTTATTAATATCCTGAGAAAAAGATTCGTATTCTTAGCTTTATTGATGCCAAGATATTTAACTTTTACGGTATATTTTTTGATAATGCCTTAGTCTCTGTCACAAATACAAAGAAAACTCATTTTCGAATTTTGACTTCAAACTTTTTATAGAGATACTAGAATCACCGAAAATAGTTTACTGTGAAAAATTCAGATACTTTCGTTGCTTCTATTCTAAGATACAACTATAATAAAATTTTGCCTTTTACACTGCTCGCATACACGAAAACCTTTCAGTGAGATCGTAACAATAAACGCTACTTTGACGTGACAGACTAAAATGGCATCGATTGTTGCGATCTCATTGACAGCTTTCATATACACCGGCAAATTCTATATTTTTATTTCAGGAAAGAAACGAATCAAAAGTCATGAAACTTTAAAAAAAAAAAACTATTCTCGTTAAGATCTGTCTCAATGCAAACTGTCAAGTCGAAATTCGAACATAAATTTTCCTTGTGTTCCTAAGGATAATCACGGCAATGGCTTTAAAAAAATCGTAATTATCCATTATCTTCGCAGGAATAAGCTAAGAACCTGAACTCTTTCCCAGCTATTCATAGCTCATTAGAATCTGCATGATCCATATGGTTTGGATTCAGAAGTGATTGATCAGCTGGAATATATCCCTCGTGAGTAATGTCAGCATAACGATAAAATTTGATCTTGTCAATTCAAATATTAACGTGTCATATATTTGTGAAACTATGTATATAAAACAAATTCAAATATTTACTTTCAACATGGTCTCTTTGTAACTTAATTCCAAATGGATTCCTACCCTAGTGAAAATATTCATCAAGCAAGTATGACTTGCCGTCATGAGTACTCAAATTACTCGTGTGAGTACTCGAGAAATTTTATGTGTAATTACCGTAAGTGAAGTTGGGTCTGGATACGAGTATATCCATGCAGGATTCGTCTAGGAAAATGTTTCAAAACTCATATTCATGTTTCAAGTAAAACTCGATGAGCTCTATGTAATGGTGCAATTAGATTTTCCATAGTTCAAACCATGGTTTCACAAATTCAAAAATGTTGATATTTTTCTATTGGAACTTTGGATCGCGATTCGAGTAATTCTGTGCGGGATTCGTCCAGAGACATGTTTCAATTGTTCCATTTAGGTTCCAAGCACAACTCAACGAGATTCAGCGAATGGTATGCTTGGATTTCATATAAACCAAAATATGATTTTCAGANATAGTCAAATGAAATTTTATTTTATTTCATTTTTCAGAATTATCTTTAACATGGTTATTTATTTTATTACAACGTTTATTTGCAAATACAAGTTCTCCACTTGCTCGTTGGACTATTCGATGGTTTTTTAATTCAATGAAATTGCCTGATAATCAAGTGGAAAATGTAAGTTGACACATAAATACCTTTCTTTCGATTATTAATTTTAATCGATGAAAAAACAAAACAATTTTGGGTTGATTTTATTGTTCTTTATGAAGTACTTGAAGATGGTGTTGTTCATTTAATAAAACCATTGTTGACAAAATTTGATCGACTTTTTAATTTTTCTCTTGAACATGGTATGCTCTTTGTTTTTATTTTTTTTTTTGTATAGTCAAATGAAATTTTATTTTATTTCATTTTTCAGAATTATCTTTAACATGGTTATTTATTTTATTACAACGTTTATTTGCAAATACAAGTTCTCCACTTGCTCGTTGGACTATTCGATGGTTTTTTAATTCAATGAAATTGCCTGATAATCAAGTGGAAAATGTAAGTTGACACATAAATACCTTTCTTTCGAATTATTAATGTGAAAATACGATGAAAGTGTAATCAAACTAATTAAAAATACCTAATCTCGTTTGTTAGATATAATGCATCGTCAAAATAATTATCGTGATAGAAAGAAAAAAACGATGTCGATTGACATTTATCATGATATCTCATCAACAAAAAAGTTCCTTAGACATGTCTTCCGACCTTAATTATACTGATGAATAGTTTACTTGTCATAGGCTTTAACAAAAAATATATATCGAGGAGACAAATGAAAGTTGCTATGTCGACTTCAATGCTTATTACCAATTGTGTTTAGTAGATAACTTTTGATTCACTCAACAAGTTCGTATATAATTTCTTATCCTATAAATCTCTTTGACCATGTAACAGGTGAGCCATTAATAATGACCTGTGTTGTATTTTTACTATAATATTTTTTTGTTTTCAATATGTAGACTTGATTTTTTTTCCAAAAAATACAGCATTACATTTCGTAAAAAATGTTTATGGAACATTTTTCTGTAGAAAGTTAAGAAAAAATACTTAATCGAAAAACACTCTTTATGTTTAAACGAACAGACTTTCTTTACTATTTTATTTTATAAATTTGAGACTATTTCCAAATTTTCTAGAGATAATTGAACTAAATTGAAGATATGTTTGAGTAGTCTAAAGCTTATGTCGAGTTCTTTCGAATTAAAGTAAGTATCGGAAAGCCTTAATTTTTAAAATAATTAAATCTTTTCAGTTTACATCAACTGAACCCAAGAAAAATCTTTAGCTAAAGTTTAACTGTTAAATTGATTATTTCTCATCAAAATAAAGAAAACCCGAGTTCAGACTATAGATGCTAAGACAACTCGTCGCGAGACATTTTGGACTTAAAGTATCCGGAAGGAGCATCGAATGACAGTGAATGAGTGCGGATGTAAGTGTAGGCACACAAAAGATCCTCATTCAAACCGACATCCACGCCCTCTGTGATGTTTTTTTTTTCTAGAAACTCTGTAACTAAAGGTTCAAACAACTGAATTTTCAAAAGCACGCAACACTGAGAAAATCGACGAAAGTCTCAAGAATTCATCTAGCATTTATTTACTTCATATTAGCTGATAGTGTTTTTTAACAGTTATAAGATGTTTCTATTTGTTTCTTTTCCTATTACTCTAACTAATAAAAGTAGTTGAAAAGAATAGGTTTTTTTAGATTAGAAAGTAGATTGGTTTATATAAATTGAGTATTTTTCGATTAATTGTTGTCCTTCAATTTCAACAGAACAACGTTCGATGATAATTTAAGCTATAGTAAAAAAGAAACTAAGAGGGCCATTATTTATAGCTCGCTCATTATATATCTTGAAGACATTTCAATAAATTATATCCTTGGGCGAAAGTTTCTCTCTCTCTCCTCCCATTCCTTTCGTATAGAAATCCTTTGATCTTTAGGGAATATTAGTTACAAGGATGTCTTCGTAGTATAATGTATGATTTCTGACAATTCGTCCCAATGAAGAATATACGTCTTTACATACAATTGAGCAATACTACAAATAAGTTGGTTGACAAAATGTTTCATTGCTGGGTTATTTATTTTTTATATCTGCTAGCTGTTTAATTGGTTTGGATCATTAAATTCTCTTCGTTGCCAACTTGAAGCATTTCCGAAAGTGTGATACAGTCGATTATACACATTTATATAGTAAATCATTCAAAAAAAAAAAGAGATAACCCAGCTATTAAGTGTTTTATCAACCCAATCATTTCTGGTGTTGGATGATTGTATTGTATGACGCCCATTCTTCATAGAAGCAAGTCGTAATCCATCATATACTACACTAAAATACTGTATTTAAGCCATTCTTGTATCCAACATTCATTGGAGACCAATGGAAATAGAGATGGAAAGAATAGTGGAAGAGGAAAGGGTGGAAGACTTTTTCCCCATGGGTGTATATGGAATGGATAATCTGAATGAATTGATCGAAAAAAGATCTATGTTGAAATTGTGATGGTTAAACTAATTTGTGTTTATTTATTTGTCTAGTTCTTTCTTGAAACTGTTCTTGAGTGGTCATCAAATAATTTTGTTTTTCTCAAGTAAGATTATATATTTATTTATTATTTTTCTTTTTTTTTTTTTCTATGCAATTTTATTTATAATTAGAGGTGAAGAAATTAACGATTCAAAACAACTAATGGAACAATGTTTAGAATCTTATCTTGAACGATGGCTTGATCATGTTGAAGATCCAAGTAAATAACAAAGATTTTTGAAATTCTAATTCAATTTCTATTTGAATAATTAGATTCATGTTTATTAACACTTCTATCGCGTATACAAACTATTAAATGGTCTCATATATCACTTGTACGTGTATTATATTCATTAAGAACATATGCATTGAATCATCAAAATCAATCTTTATTAAAAGATGAACATATTAAAATATTTTCATCATTAATATTAACACAATTTCATACATATGCACCAGTTCTTCGTCTATCTGCTTATTCATCAATACTTGATATTGTTATTTATCTTCTTGATTGGTCGATTTCATCAACATCATTAAATCTTTTACGATTTTTTGCTTTATTTGATCGATCAACATTTTTATCAAAACATTTTCAAATAATATTAGATCATTTTTCATTTGATATTCGACAATTACAAACATTTATTGGAGAATTTATTTCATCTGAAGATTTAGATACATCTTTAGATACTCGATTATTTTCACTTGATAATACTTTATTAGAATATCGTCAAATAGCATTTTTACTTGATCTTATTGATATACATAATACAGATATGTTGAAAACAATATTTAATCCATTAATTGAAAATATTCGAACAGCATATCAACGTCCATATATGTCAATAAATAATGTTCGAAAATCAATTGAACTGTTTTCAGGTTTAATACAAGAAAATTATTTTCATTCAACAAATTTTGTTAAAGATTGGTTTTCATCAAGTATTCGATTAATTGTACGAGAAGGTTTAAATTTTATTAAAATACATTCCGTAAGAAAGAACTATTAGCTCTAATATTTATATATACATACTTTTTAATCATATAGGTTCAACAACCTATTGTTTTTGTTAAATTACCAATCATTTTCTTAATGATTGGCAATCATGGAGATATTAGTCGATTTTTACAAGAATTAATTAGTCAAATGGAAATAATGATACAACAACAGGTAGATATATATGCTTGATTTATTGAATTGAAATAGACTGTTCTACAGAGTTCGTTGGACTCAAAATTTTCGAACCTGGACTCAACTAAAAGAAATTTTCCAAATCCAGACAGGCCTGGATCTAGGCCCATGACCAACCCGATAGGCTCTACTGTTCCGATAAAAAATTTACATTGTTTTCATGTCGTTTATTTTCTAAATATGAACATATTGAGAAAGTTTTTGCCGCTAGAATAACCAAAAATCTGTTTGCTATTCGAATAGTCTTTAAATAAAGCAATATTCTATTAAATTATACTTCATCTCCTCACCTCCCCAAAGAATAGAAGCTCAATCTACTCGAATAAGCGTAAAATAGTAATGCAAATCATTGAATAGATCAGTTCATTGCTTTTCTGCGTTTAGGTGCAATTTGTTTGGTATATCTGATTTCGTTTGTTTTATATGTTTCCTATTAAGGAACCCAAGAATATCTTTTATTTTATGAGTCGAAAAATGTGTACATATGGGCATTAATGAGAAACAGTTGTGTAGAAACTAGTGAATAGGAAACAGGCATGCTTGAATATCATTCTGTTATAGAATTATGGACGGTCTAGAAATAAAACGATGTAAACATTTTCATAATTTAACAGAAATATGAGATATTTTACAAAACTAAATAATGATCGGTTGAAATTACGCGAAAGTCTATCCAACTCGAAAAACAAGTATCAATATGAGATAAGTACGATATACATTATCGAAAAACTCATAGGATCTGAACTATCTATTTAATAAAAATGAGGAGCCCATATTTAGTAGTAAAGGGTTTATTTTATACTTCTTTCAAGATAATTGACAGAAATCTTCTTGCTTTTCTGAATTGTACATAAACTTTTAAGATGACATCGTCTAGCAGAGCTACAGAGCTCATCAAGTTTGTTTCGAGCCCAAATATCAAAATTTTGGATTCGACATGCTCTATAGAGTTGAGTAGAAGTTTTCTCTCAAATCTTCTAGAGCTCGATGGTTACTAAAACTAAAGTATCGTGATAAGCACGTCTTACCGTATCTATATTACTCAAATTATCTGATAGCATGGAAGTAGAACAGTATAAAAGTCAATTTTTGACTCATGAGTAACTATCAAGGTTTTCAGACAATTTGAAAACTCTTTATTTATCAAATCTTGTGCGCTTCTATACTTGTAAGCGAATCAAATCATAGCTAGAAAATAAAAAAGGTTAGTTGCAATAAAAGCGTACCTTCAGAATAAAAGTCCAGCGGGCTACTATTCTGCGGTGAGAAGTGGGTGTGTATTCACATTTCCTTTAGACTAATTGAGAACAATGTGATAAAGATACTTTTATCTCTGTTAACTGAAAACTTGATAGTCATGCAAGAATATTCTTCTTATCAATAAAGAAATAATTTTATATAATAGTATTAAAGTATAAAGAAGAAAAATGACAATTACGATGATTGTTTATTTGTGTTGTATCGAAAACAAGCCATGAGGAAGCAAAATTACCTGGCTACAATTTAATTTGATTTGAAAATAAATTTTCAAAATTCATTTTTTAGTCAGGAAATACTTGGCAATGTCTTTTCATTTTATTTATTCATTCCATGGATTGGCTTTTAACAAATCGATTATCAGATTTTAATAACGAATGGAATACAAAGCTTCGTACACTTCCATTATTTTCTCAACTTCTACCATTACTCGATCAGCCTAATACCAAGTATACATAAAAATCTATTTTTCTATTTCGTTCTTTTTTTTTTTTTTTCTTTTACTTACAAAAGTATTCCACAAGCTGATATGTTAATTGCTAAATATTTATTAATCGCTAATAATATACCATCAACTGATTTATATAATAACATCATAGATGATTTATTCAAAGCATCTCCAAGAGAACTACCTTATGTCTTTCGTGCTATCGGTGTTTTACTTCGTCAAACACAAGTAAATGAAAGTTTCATTTTGTTGGTTTCTTTAAAATCAAAATTCAACTTTCTTTCATAGACAACAATTGAAAACAAATGTAAACTAATAGAAAATTCAATAAATGTACTTAATGAAGTTGATCATCGAATGCCAGTCTATTGGCCTTGTTTAACTATGTTTTGCCAAACAATTTCATCCTCTGTTACAGATATAAACGTATCCAATCTTTTAACTGAAGTACGTAAATCATATAGAAATTTTTTTAAAGTTTCGAAAATTATTCATTTCTTAAATATATAGTGGTTTACACAAATGCTTGAACGATGTGGACATATATCAGGAATTATGAATACTATACTTGAATCAATAATTCCAATATGGTTATATGAACATCGAATTCAATCATCTCATTTACCAATTATAATTGAATGTATTATTTTCGGACAAATTTATCAAAAAGATAAAAAGTAAAATAGAAAAGAAAAAAAGAAATTCTAAACAAAAAATAATGAGTCGTATTCACGATTAGCTTGTTGATCACAAACACGCATAAAAAGTGGCTACATACTAGCTCATGTGTTGCTAAGGACAATCGCTTTTCTTTCATCTATTTTTCTCTCTCTTGTTCAATCGCTTTGTTAGCATATGCTAGTAATGCGATTGAAAAAGAGAGAAAGCTAGATGAGAGAAAAGAGATCACCCTTAGCAATACATGAGCTAATATGTAGCTAAGAAGTGAATTATGAATAAGGCTCAATGCTATTTTTGAAAGCCGGAACGATGAACACGGAAACTTGAGTACGGCTACTTAAGTACGGAAGTAATGAACACGAGAACGATAAGCACGAGAAAAGTTCAGCACGTACGAAAAAATGAAGGTAAGGAATGCATGTGTGAATGGAAAGGAAAAGAGGATCAGACATACACCCAAACCATTTGAGTTATTTTTGCGTAAATGAACAAAAATGCTCTTATCTACTGAACCACATGTCACAATATTGTTCCGTCAGTAGAAAATTAAAGTAAGGGAATGACACTAAACAATGTCAGATTAGAGATTTCAGAAACATTGGTAGATTACATGCTATAGTCAATCAAAAAAGCAAACTCTAATGAGTTCAGCTTTGGATTTGGATTGTTTTTCAGTTTCTTTCAATCTCTAATTAATCCTAGAGAGTTCATTGGATTACTATCTGTTTGATTGTCGAAGGCAGACATCTTGTTGTATATGTGGTACGACAATTTATTGATATAGTTCATAATCAAGGAAATAAATTTGAAGTATTGACATTCTACTATTAAGTATTGGTACATGATGCCTAGAGAAGACTAACACCCTACATCCATACCCTTGATTGTGTTATAGAAATCATATTTGTCTCAATATTTTTGCATAGTTAACTGTTCGATATTGAACGTTCTTGCGCTTATTGTTTCCGTTCTCATTCTTTCCGTGCTTATTGTTTCTGTGCTTAAGTTTCCATACTCATCTTTGACCAATCCATTATTTTTATCTTTTTAGACAACAATGGCAAGCAGAACAACTTGTTGAACAAGATGAATCGTTTCGTTTACTTCTTTCAAATACTCATATAATACCGTAAGTTAAATAAACATTTATCATATTTTCTTTTAATTAATTCTTCTAGTGAATATTGTTATGATCGAAATATTCGTGTATTAATGCAATTATTTATTCTACATATTTGGCCATCATTACTTAATGTTCAACAAAATGATATTGTTATGCAAATAATTACAAAACATCGTCATCTAGCATTAAGGGAACGTCGACCACGTTTTTGTACAAATTCACTCGAACATCGTATTATGTTTCGTTCACTTCAATGTCTTCTTTGTTTAACATCTGTTATTAAAAATTCGGTAGGAAAAATAAATTTATTGTTAAACATATTTGATTCTTTTTTTTTTTCTAGAGTCTTTTGAAAACAATCTACGATAATATTGTGGCAACATTAACTAGAGAAAATGAACCATCACTTCGTTTACTTTCAGAATGGATTATTGTTCGTTTAATATCAGAAGATCGAACAACACGTTTAAATGATTTATATGAATATTTACATCATGCTCATCAACATAGAACAGGAACTATATGTGCTTGGCTTTCAATAGCATCACATATACCAAATCTTTTATTAAATCAAATCGAACAGGTTGAAATCTTAAATTTTTATTATTGTCTTTTCTATAATAATTATTTCTTTAATTAGATCGAATATATAAATAAAATCTTCGAATATATTAGTCCATTATTAATGCATTCAAATTTTCATATTCGAACATTTGCTTGTTCGACAATGGTTAAAATACTTGAATATACTGAACGTCATCATCTTGAAAATGAAACACCCTATGAAGTATATCGATATTTTAGACGAAATGATGAAAAATCTGAGTAATGTTTTGTTGTTTGTTAAGTTTTTTTTTTAAATTTTATTATGTTTAGACTTGGTCGATATATAATGAAACTTCAAAGTCTATTTCTTTACCAATTTGATCCAATACGAGATTTTTCACTTGAAACAATTTTTTATACATTACCAAAATTATCTTTAATAGCTGATGATGAATACTTATCTCCTGAATGGTTTATTGAAATAAGTCAACAATTACATTTTACATTTCCAATATCAGTTCATAATGTTTCAACAATTTTACAGTCATGTCAAGCTGGAATATGGAGATTAACTGGTGAATATAATTTTTAGTGTGAAAATCTTGGCACGAAATTTTCACTCTTTCCGAATATATATTCAGAGTTCCCTTCTAAAGTAAGATTGAACAACTATCATCCGATTCTTTCAAAGTGATGGTTGTACTCAATACTATTTTGATTAATTTAGTATTTTGATTGAAACGTATCGAATTCAAAGTGTGAAACAATTTTTAATGGAGCAGTTTTGTAGAGCAAAGCTTGTTCTACAAAGCATGCTGTTTACTTTTACATAACAAATTTTAAAACTTTTGTATTTTTAAAAGCTATTTTTCACTAATCCTAATTTCCATAGAAAACTAGTTCGTTAGTGAAAACGCATAGATGAGATTTTGCTTATGATAATGTCTTATTTTGTTCAGATTTCATTAATGTTAAATTGAAGCTATTCGAAGACATAAACTAAGGACTGCCCTAAAACTACCATTTGGCTTTATACAGACATAATTCACAAAGCTTGCTGATATTTGTTCAATTTTATTTCAGGACTGAAAGAATGAGCGAATGTTTTGTGCCAAAATTTTTACGCTATAGGTTCAATGTTAAGACAATGTTTCTTTTTCTTTTTTAATTATTTAGCTACTGGAAAATTTGATATAGGAGGAATGCAAGACGAAGAAGGATCTTCAACGATTCAACATAAAGCAAATCCATATCCGATTGTTGAACCACTTGACGATACTGAATTTAGAGGAAGTATTAAACGAAGCCAATTGATTGTTGTGGCGTCACTTATTGATAAGCAAGCAAATTTAGGTGGTAAGTCTAAGCATTTTCGTATTTTTTTTTACATATGAAAAAAATTGAAAAAAAGAAAAGGATGAATATAAATATTCGTTCATGTATTTATGAGAGATCACGCTATACATGATACAAAGAGACCGTACCATTTATGGAATTAGTTAACAAATTCTTGAGAAAAAAAAAGCTGTTAGCGTAATCCCTGAAGGATTAGAATGTGAAAAAAAAATGGTGCAGTTGCTGTTGCTAATCACAGGGAGACTGTTTTCATTCTGTCTGTTTTGGGATACATTTTTTCACCATCCTTTTACATAATCATACACAAACACAATAAGAAAATAGTTCATATATTATAATGAAACATTATAATATAACAGATCTCTGATTGTATACCAACAATATCTGTTACGGCTTGTGATAAAAAGACGTTGTTCAGATATCTATCGCGTTTGTAGGAAGGATAGGTCGTACTCTACAAAAAGTAAGGTAATGACTAGATCATATATAATAGCGTGGAGAATATAAAGGATTTGTATCATATTCGATACATGATATTTCAAAAGACTTCGTTTAAAGATTGATGCTTTAAAAAAAGGCATTTATATAGAATGAATAAAGAACAATCTTAGTTAAACAAGCTAGCAATATATAAACAATCAAATCGTATAGACCAAAGAACAATGAATAAATATTCTAAACTTGTTGAATTCATTAATCTTACTAATAATAGGAAAAGTTAGACAAATCCCATGTCGATATCAGTTTTTATTAACTTTTCGACTGATGAATAACACTTAAACTTGGTTCTTCATTTTCTCCTTCGCTATCTTGATACATCTTATAGTTACTATCGTTTCAATATTATTCATTGATTTTTAACATTCTTGATAATCTTCTTTGCAACTTAACTATTTTGTCTGTTGTATTTTACTCCGTGACTAAATAATGAAAGGATTTATGAACGATTAAGTTTTTCTATTTTGATTTATTTGTAACTAATTTTCAATATTCTATTTTAAAATCTTTGTTCATATAGGTTTATGTCGTACCGGTGAAATTTTTGGTATAAAAGAATTAGTAATTGGAAGCATTCGTATATTGGAAGATCAACAATTTCTTAATTTAAGTATGACTGCTCATAAATGGTTACGTATAAAACAAGTGAGAACATTCTTAGATTTACTTATATATTAATTTTATAAATTATAATATAGGTACAAGAAAGGGAATTAAAGGATTATTTAATTGATATGCAAGTTCAGGGATATACAATTGTTGCTGTTGAACAAACAGTAAATAGTCAAAGTTTATATGAATTTGAATTTCCAGAGAAAACTTTACTCTTACTTGGGTATCACAAAAGAAACAATTCTCGGTTTATGTTAATTAATATTTTCTTTTGCTTTCTAGAAATGAACGTGAAGGTATTCGAGCTGATCTTTTATCTTTAGTAAATGTAACTGTTGAAATTCCACAAGCCGGTGTTATACGTTCTTTGAATGTTCATGTTACTGGTGCTCTCTGCATATCAGAATATACAAGAAAGTACATGAATATGATGAAATGAAACACAAGAAAAGATATTCTGTTTTTTTTTTCTATTTTGTTTTCTGTTATTAAAGACGCACATTGTGATTGTTTCATATTTGTTATGTTTTAGATAAATATAAAATCTATTGATTTAAAAAAAGCAACAGTCCTGCTTCTCATGGAAATTAAAATAAATTTGTTCAACTTCTTCATTCCATCATTCATAATATTTTATTAACAATGCGCTTGAACGTCATATAAAATTCGTTGGATGAAATTCATGTTTTTATATTCATCTATGAAGGAATAACTTCTCTTGCTATATTTCACGATCGAATATTCCTTTTTAATTTACGATAAAAAAAAAATTAAGCATAATATAAGTTATAATTTTTTAGATAATGCGCATTTATGATGAATTCAAATCGATGTTTATTGTCGTCTGTTTTCATGCTTATGTTTTCTTGATTAGTGGACTTATTATTAATTTTTTACAATTATGTTCATGTGTTATATGGCCATTTAATAAAGAACTTTATAGAAAAGTTAACTGCTATTTAGCATTGGGTATATGGAGTCGTGAGTATTAGAATTTTGTTATTTTTTTGATCAAAAATAATATAAGAAGTTTACTATTGAAGAACTACTATGAAACTTTTTAAAAATCTTCTATATTGAGTTTGTATGAATTCTTATATTTAAAAGGAATGGTTATTATTGAATAATTATGCATTATATATTTTATAAAGAAAATATTAACTATTTGATATTTAAGATGATAAAAGTAAAGTGTAAAACTCATGATGACGAGGAAACCCATCCGACTGATACACTTCGTTTGAGCTCATATCTTGCTGATAGGTAGAACTCATAGTGAAATAAAAATTCTTAAAGGTTTCGTACCATTAGACCTTTCTTCACGAGTTATGGTCTTTTTACTGAACTTTCAACCTATTCCGGGATATCACAAGAAAAATCGCAAGAAAAACTTTCAGCCTTAAATTCTGCTCAACAGTAACTCTCATAAGTTTTATGATATTCTGAAAGTTAAAAATGGCCTGCAATGTTGCCCACAGATGATTCTAATGAACTTTGGAATATCCTAAAAGTTTCAACCGAAAAAAATGTTCCTTTATCAAGATATTACATTTCCAAATAAACTCGATTTTTATGACATATCTGTAGCAAACGGCTATTTGTTAGAAATTCAATATCTCGATAAAAGATTAGAACTATCTATGGGCTAAATTTCAGTTTGAAATTTCATTCTCTGACTTTCGAATAAATACCTAAAAATGGGTCATAACTCTGCTGTAGAGACCCATAGCCATGAACTATTTTTAGGATTTTTCTAGTTTGATCGAGACCTGCTTTTGAACTCAATATGAGTTTGAAAGGTGAATTAAAGTTAATGATTGTGGGATCCAATAGAAAAAATAATATTCCATTAGTTAAAGAACTTGAAAATCATTTAAACATAAAATAATTCAACATAATTATTTGTATCGTTGAATTTCGAAGTAATTGTCGACATCTTTTTTTTTGTGTATGAAAATTTTATAAACCACCGAGTATTTTCGATATCATAAATTATTGACATAACATACAGTTTCTTACTATCATCACATGTTGCTCTTTCGATTTAATCAAAATAACTTTTTGAAATTTTTAATAGACTTTCTCATAATTTCTTTCGTTTTGAAAACTTCATTTGTTTTTTAATTTGTTTCACAGAATTTACTTTCTTTGCCCAATGGTGGTCAAACAGCAATTGTGTGCTGTATATAAATCCTGAAGATCTTGAAAGAGTTCGTAAGGAACATGCTATTGTTATGTAAGTTTATTCATCTTGAATTATCCAAATAAAAAATTTAATGAAAAAATAAATCTAGAATGAATCATAAATATGACATTGATTGGCTTGCTGGTTGGGTTATTTGTCAACGTTTGGGTATAATGCAGGTAATTTTAAATCAAACTCTCATAGTTTTATTGAAATTTATATTAATTAGGGATCAAAAATAGTTGGTAAACAATCACTTAAATTAGTTCCTATTGTTGGGTGGTGTTGGATATTTACTGAATCAATATTTTTACGACGTGTATGGGAAAGTGATCGTGAAACATTGGTTAAAGATTTACGAAAAGTACTTGCTAATTATCCAAAAAATTATTTTTTTAATGTAAAAATAATTATTTTTTTTTATATTTTAAATTAGAAATTTGATTATTTTTCATTCGTATTTAGTTTTTACTATTCTGTGAAGGTACACGATTTACCGAAAAAAAAAGATCAACAAGTATGAAAATTGCAAAGGAAAAAGGATTGCCAGAACTTAAACATCATATTCTTCCTCGTACAAAAGGTTTTACTTTATTATTACAAGGAGCAGAAAATCGAAGTAAGTTCTTCATATGATATCGAACATTCTCAAATATCCGAATAGATAGTTTCCAGTATATTCCAATCATAAAAAATTTGAGTCATTCTATCAATGGTACTTTTAATGACTTCGGACAGTTATACAATTAATGAAACTAACTATCGAATCTAAATTTAAGTAATTATCAATGAAATACAGTGCGAACTCATGTTGCACGATTGCTCTCGCTAGCTCCTGAATACTATCGGTAACCATAAGTGCCGACGGCAAACTGGCAATAGATTGCCAATCGGAGAACAACCAACAGTATACCGTTGATTTTTTTGTCACCATCAGTATAGCCCACGTTATACCCAACGGCTTACCGATGTTTTTTGTCCGATTTGAATCACATGAGGATATTTAGATTAATTAAAACACATTTGTTTGTGCTTGTACGTACTTATTCGAATTTCGTAGTATAATAGCATGTGAAGTTAAAAGGAAATCATGTGATAGTTTTATTTTGTCGCACTCTTAAATACATAAAAATAATATTGTCACATAACTAACATATCAATCTTTGAAATATGATTCATTAATAATAATCAGATTCGTAAGTCTTGATGTTGAATTAGAATAGTTTATCAAAGAAAATTAAAATTCTATCAAAAATTTGTATTCGATCTTTTTTTTCTGTTTAGTTACAGCTATATACGATTTAACAGTTGGTTTTAAAGAAAATGGAGCTGAACCAACACTTCTTAGCATATTAAAAGGACGTTCATGTCAAGCAGAAATATTTGTGAAGTAAATTTCATTTTTAAAAATTTTTAGTTACTATTTAATAACACTTATATAATATCTATTAGACGTATTCCAGTTTCGAAAATCCCACAAGATACCGAAGGATGTAATAATTGGGTTCATGAATTATATCAAGAAAAAGATAAAATATATGATTATTTTGTTAATCATGGTACATTTGAAGGAAACGGTTTACCACGAATTGAAATTCAACGTAATTATAATGATTTATTGATTGAAATTGCTTGGATATTAATTATTGGTGTACCATCATTAATATATTTATTTAAATTTCTTTGGACAAGTTCATTTTTGGTACAATTAGTTTTTGCTGCGTTGATTTGTATTGGTAAATAATGAATATTTCAAAATAAAAAAAAAGAGCAATGAAATTTGTTGTTTTTTTTTAGCAACAATTGGAGTTCGAGCTATGATAGCAGTTACAGAAACAAAACGCGGTTCACATTATGGTGAAACACATAAAGAAAAATAAATTCACGACAAACAAAAATATTTATTTGATTTTTATGCATTATGATTGATTTATGTGATATTTCGTGCACAACAAATGGTAGCTGGCTACCACAATACAATGACCACCGATCTTTTTCTTTTTCTTTTTTTTTCAAACTTCATTGTGGGTGGTTTTTTTTTTTTTGCATTTTATTATTCGAGCTTAATGAAAAGAATATCTACTTCTCAGTAGTTTTATAAATGTATTAGACTCATGTGTGTTTTTTTTTCCGTCCGTACACCTTTAGGTGTTGATCATCTTCTTTTAGAGAGAAACAAAAATTATTGTCATAGGTGTATACTTCACGTTAACGTTACTCTTCGATTAAAATTCAGCTTTGTTTCCTTGTTGTTTGATGTGTACTACTTTTACCTGATTTGTTATTATTTGACAATAGAATGAGATAAATTGTCCTGTATTTGCAATAAAACATGGCATGCATTGAATTTCTTAGTTTTTTCATCAATAAAGTACAATTGAAACTATTATACTCTGAATTTAAATAATTGGTTATGTACGAGCCAAAGTGTTACTCTCACTATCAAATAACTAAATACAAATATATGAACTGTTTACAGCAAACCTAGATCAATATATATTTTTTATCTAAAAGCATAAGATGTTTCAGAAAGTGACATTCCAGAATTTAGCTGAAGTTTATAGATTACAATTGGATCGTATTAAATTCAATTTATTCCGAAAGTTTGCTAGTATCGAGATGAAAAACTACAGGTAGGTTTTGTGTCTGAAAAATGACACATACATAAGATGCCTCATGATTATATGAATTAATATTTTCTTTGCGCTAGGCACAAAACTAGTTTTATTATAATCATTTCATTGAACAAAAAAAAAACTTCAATTGAAATGAAATCGGAAGTATCGATATCTACGAGATCTTGATTCTACTATACTTTCAAAAGAAACTGAATATATGTACAGTTCTAATGTGATTCACAAATTTCAGTTGAATTCTGGAAACTCAGATTATGAAAAATTTTATGATTCAATACAAAAATACATGTGAATAGCCTTTTATATGATCTGTTACCTTATTGAAACTGGATACCTTAGAAATCGAATACTTCAACTCAGACAGGTCATGAGCAACTTGTGTTTTGAATTCATTAATTTAGCAATGAGAATGATAATTTAATCCAATATAAATCAATACTTTTCACTTAAGGTGCAATAGGTTTCTTTGTTGATAGAGTTTAAGCATTGGTAAACTTGATGCATGCATATTTTATTGTTTGTGTTGTTAATAAGTATCTTCTAATTTAGATTATGATATTCAATCGCTGTGTTCGTAATAATATTCAATCATTATGACTAAGCCAAATATTTTTGTTTGTTAATGTTTTTGTATTAGTGATTTTCTTATCAAATTTGCTCAACTTCTATCATAAATATTCATCTAATCATTTTGTAAAAAGTTAATTTTTCTCTAGTCATTGTGGACTGACTCAGATATAATTGTTTATGTTGATCTATAAACGACTGAATATCGAAAACCTGAATATGCATTTTACTTTGTAAATCATAGGGAACTGCAAAGTGGTCCCGGTCCCGGCGGGACCGAGACTAACAATTTTTCACACTGGTCCCGATCAGTGTTTTATGCAATATATTTTCATGTTTATTGTTTTGACATGATTAAAGATCTGTAAATCAGATATTTTTATTCGCTATTTCTATAAAAGTCTTAGCTGATTACGGGTCTGTTTGCAAGCATCTGAATTTTCCAATTGCACATATTTTTGAATACATATAAAACAATGAACACAACACTATATACGTAAGATTAATTCGTTCATTCTTTGATCATTCCTTTATTTAAGTCTTATCAGATAATAGTAAATAGATGTGTCACTGTTTTTTTTTTTTGATAGTCGTAATGGCGACTCAGTATAAATAATCAATTCGATAATAAATCCATTAGGTAGAGCAGTAGATATAAAAGAAGAGAGAAATAAGTAAATGACTGCTACGAAGTACCTGAGAATTTTTAACAAAATTCAATGATTATTTTTATTTCTTCGAGCTTTCAGTGAAATTCTTTCACTTTAACACTGGATATAAAAGAATTCTCGTACTGTTAACGAATCAAATTCATTCATGTCAATTTGATGTATTCATAAAAGTACACAGATCGTAAAAAAAAGTTGCTCGATTTTAGAAATGAAGCCATTGTCAAAGACCGGGACCGGGACTGGGACTGGAAAAAGTATTGATTTATATTGGATTA